TGGAGCGGCTGGTGGAGCAGCTGGTGGTGAACCTGACGCGCTACGAGGAAGACCTGTGGGAGAACACTAAGGACGTGGACAACCTGTACAAGGATTTCCACAACCTCAACCCGACCAACGACTGCAAATGCAGCGACCTGAACGCTGCGGTGGCTCACCTGGAGAGAGGTGTGGCCAACGTCACACAGCTGGCCAATCAGAACAGGCTGGAACTGGAGGAGAACAGCAAGGTGGGCGGGCCTCTGTGGGGCAGAGCCAGCGACTGGGAGCCGGAGGTGGAGGCGCTGCAGGCGGATCTGGAGCAGGTTCGTTCATTTAGAGGTTCTGGTTCTGATCATAGAACTCCAGGAGATGATTCTCATTACGTCCAACTAAGGCTGCATCATTTCTACCAGTAATGTTCAGTCTGTTTCAACACAACTCCAGTCCGCTTGTCTAGAGATCCGGTTCAGTTGGTGAGGTGTGAATGCTAACTGACCTCTGACCTCTGGCCCTCCAAACCTCAGTCTGGGTTCGGTTGAAGTGAACTCTGGTTTGGTTTGAATGTGAATGCCAAGCAGACCAGAGACCGCTTCAAAAGCAGGAAGTGGACTACAGCACAGGGCATTCTGGGTAAAAACAACCAAAACTAACATGTTAGCCTAGCGCTAGCAGCAAAAATGGCTCCTGGTCTTTAGCCTAAAGAGAAATCCTCCAACCGCTAAAATCTGACGCCTCCATCTTGTTTCCATCTGGTGAAGAAGGAAGTTGCTCTCAGTGTCTTCAGAGGTTTTTGTGTCGTTTCCTTCAGTGGTTCTTGGTGCAGCGCCCCCACAGGCCAGGAGGGGAACAGGCTGGTTTGACTCAGCAGAGAGTAAATGCATCAAATGTTGAATTTTTGGTCCCAACAGAACCGGGTCTACTGGACTGTCAGGTCCTTAAAAGTCCTGAAAATTACAATTTCATCGCACCTCAGAGAACCGGAATCGGAATCAGAGGTTCTACAGACTGAAGGTAACTCTGGTGCTCCCCCTACAGGTGAAACAGTCCGTGGCCTTGGAGCAGAACAGAACCAGAACCTTGGACTTCAGCCTGGTCCAGCTCATCAGGTCAGTGTCGGTGCTGCAGGACGAGGACGTCCAGCTGGAGCAGCAGGTGAAGATGCTGTCCTCGTCCTTCCAGTCGCTGCTGCAGGACGCCATCCGGCACAGCGACGTGCTGCAGCTGCTCCTGGGCGAGGAGGTGCTGGAGTTCCTGGAGTGGCCCCTGCAGGACCAGGAGGCCCACTCCGTCCCCGCCCTGAAGGAGCAGCTCCGCCAGCTGCAGGAGCGACTGAAGAGCCGTGAGGAGGCGGAGCTACAGGAGCCAGGAGCAGGTAGGGTCACCTGGAATCACCTGGAATCTCCTGGAGTAGCTTCTGACCAGGACAGACAGATCTCTGCTGGTTTAAATAAACTTCATGTTTAACTGAAACAAACTCACTAATTAGCACAAAGGTTCATGATTTTAATAAAAACATGAACAGATCAAACTAAACTCAGAATCTGTTTCCATTATATTTATTTCTATCAGAAATAAAGTTCTGATCCGTTTGGAGGTTCTGTTGAAGCTCTATGGTACCGATTCGTACGACCAGGGAACCATTGGCGCCATCTAGTGGTGGTAGATTGAAAGAACAGCAAATATTTGTAAATTAGAAACATTATTTTGGTTTTTATCCAACTGATCATAAAACAGAAATATTTAGTGATGCATTAATCTGTTTGCATTAAAAAAAATTTCCATGGAGACAGTTTGGTTCCATTATAAACTCTGATCCAGCCTTCATCTTCATTTTATGCATATATATATATATATATATATATATATATATATATATATATATATATATATATATATATATATATGTGTGTGTATGTATGTATAGGCTTTGAGGTTTAAATTCAGAGAATATTAATGAGTATTTGTGAATATTAATAACCAGGAAGCAGAGAGGAGATCCCCGCTGCTCACCAGCCCCCCTGGTCCCCTGCTGGCCGCCGGGGGAACAGCGGCGCTCCGCTCAGGGAGAACCAGCGCCTCCTGCAGGCGGAGCAGAGCGCTGCAGACAGCCTGCGGGACCTGCAGAGGAAGGTGGAGCAGCAGGAGCAGAGGCTGGTCCGGGCGGAGGAGCGGAGCTGCTCCTGCAACAGCAGCGCGGTGCCCCCTGCAGGACGGGAGGCGGCGCTGCAGGCGGAGGTGCTCTGGCTGCGGAGGGGCCTGGAGGAACACCTGAAGGTCTTCAAGAACGTCTTCAGCAACGCTGAGGCGCTGGCGGCGTCCGGAGACACGCTGCAGCTGGACCAGCTGCTGGAGCTGACCAAGAGGAGGGACAGGAAGAGGGGAGGAAGAGGAGGAAGAGGAGGAGGAGGTGGAGGAGGTGGAGGTGGCGGCGGCCAGCGCAGTCGGAGGGAGTCACCAGGTGAGTCAGAACTTGATCAGATCAGCATCAGAACTCACCTCCTCATTATCATCTTTCCTCCTCAGGTGAGCCGATCCCCTCCAACCAATCAGGCGTCTCCGTGCTGTTTGTAGGTGGATCAGGCAGAACCATCAGTTTTGGACCGGGTCAGAACTCCAGACTCTTCACGGCGCCACTGGACGGACTCTACCTGTTCATCCTCACCTTGGACCTGAGGCCAGGCTCCGCTCACATCCTGCTGAGGCGGGGCCACGAAAGGGGCGGGGCTCCGGTGACGCTGCTGCTGCGGCAGGTGGAGAGGGCGGGGCCTGTGGGCGGGTTGGGGCTCCTGCTGCTCCGGCAGGGGGAGCAGGTGAGGCTGCAGGTGAGGGCGGAGTGGGCGGAGTCAGAGAGCAACCTGCTGGCCGTGCTGCTGCTGCAGCCAACCACCTGAGGGCGCTCCGCACCAGTGAGCTGCAGGGGACGGAGCCTCCAGACATTTGCACCTTAGAGACGAAGGACTGGACATTTCACAACAAATGCTTCCTTATGGAGGAATTTTCCTGCCATAATCCAAGAGCACACATTTTCAGTCTGAAAGCAGGACTTCATGTCTTTCTTCTCAAAACTTCTGCTGGCGCTCACACTTAGTCTCTGCTCAGACTCTGCTTGCTTCTGAAAACAACTTTTAGCACAGTCACCTGGCAACCTCTCAGCCAATAGAATGAAAGTGCTGCGTGCGTTTGTTTCCTTCAGCAGGTGTGCCTGTGTGTCGATTGTAGCAACCTGCGCAGCGTTACAAGTTTTGAGAACAAAAGACATGAAATCCTGCTTTCAGACTGAAAATGTGTGCTCCAAGATTATGTCAGAAAAAATCCTCCATACTTCAGGGCCTCATGGATAAAAGAGAGAAAACCTTTCACAATAAAATACAGAAATTTGTTAGGTTACAAAATATTATTAGTCTAAACTCCACAACAAACTCGAGAAATTTATTTTAAAATCTATGTTGTTTTTAGCCAAGTTCATAATTTGCTAATTTAATAGTTTAGTAAAAAGTTTCTGGATGTTTTATATTAAAATCAAAAACATGGATAATAAAAGAAAAAATACTTTCTGGTGTCAACATTTTTCACTTAATGTAAGGTAATTTTATTTATATAGCACATTTTCAGCAACAAGGCAATTCAAAGTGCTTGAGATCCTGAAAATATACAAAGTTTTCATCAGTTTCACTGGCAGGAACAAACTGCAGGCAGGGATAAAATTAAATTATTCCTAAAGTCATAAATGGCGGAAATTTGCTCTGACATATATATATATATATATATATATATATATATATATATACACACACACACAAATTTATCTGATTTAAACTGATTGATTCTCTATCAGTTTTGGTTCTTTATAATTTTTTGACTGAAAAAGTAGCGAGGAAAATTTTAATCCAAATTTTCACACTGCATTAATTTTTCTACATGCTGAGCTGTGAATAATTTCTCCACATTTATCCATAAGGCCAGAGAAGCTTCCTGCTGTTTTCATATGAAATTATTACTTTTAATGATATTGTGCATAATTATATTACATATCCACTATTATTGAAGTGATGCTTTGAGTTCTGTAAATATACTGGAGGTTTTTAAACAGATTGTAACTAAAGTAAAACTGCAGCACTTGGTTTGTTATTCAGATGTAGGGACCATGTTTCACCAGCAGAGGGCGCCGCCGCATGGCAGGTTTTTATGTCAGATTTAAATAAAGATTAGTAACGTGAGTAAGCTGTGTTCTGCTTTCATCACTTCCTGTCTAGCCAGAACCCTCTGGTGGTTCCGGTTCTGACCCGGTTAGCGGCAGACATGAAGGACTCGTGGTTCCGGTTCTGACCCGGTTAGCGGCAGACATGAAGGACTCGTGGTTCCGGTTCTGGTAGTTTGTCTAGAAGCTTTATTGATAACTGTTTACATCTCACAATGCATTCCACAACACGACTCCAGCGGAGTTTAATCAGCACAGGTGAAGAAGAAGAAGAAGAAGTTTATCATTCACGATTAAAGAAGCAGAACAAACAGACGCCTTAAGCTCCGCCCACCTCACCTGGAAACACACCTGGCGGAGGGAAACGCCCGGCTGTTTCCTAGGAGACAGCGGGATGACGATGATCTAACAGGGTAACGGATTGTTCTACATGGTTCTACAGCTACCGAGCAGCGATGAAGAGTTTAGTGTAGACCCCTCCTCTTCCTCACAGCAGCCCCTCCCCAACCTGCTGCTGCCAGCCGCCTGTGATAGGCTGAGGGAAAGGGGGCGGGGCCAACCAGCTTTAAAATGTTTCTGAGACTCTGATTGGTTCACAGAAATAAAACAGATGATGATCATCATCATCATCATCATCAAAGCCACTGAACAATTCCCAGAAGCACAAAATAAGGAATTCTGAAATGGAAAAAAAAAAAAAAAAAAGTTTCATAATCTGACAAATACATTAAGGGCAGCGCCCACCTGATCCTCCTCTTCCTCCTTCATTTCGTTTCCTCCAGCCCCCCTCCCCCCTCCCATCAGGACTTCCTGAATCCAACCTTTGACCTCCCGTTCCTTCACTCCGTCTTACGCTTCAGTCCGGGAACCTTTTCCTGAATCCTGAAACACAAACAGGAAACAGGAGGCAAGAAGTGAGCCGCCATACATGTCAAAATAAAACACTTGATGTTCTTGACAGCAGCGCCTTAAAGGGCCAGTCGATGTTTCACTGTGAGGTCATCAGCAGGGGTCAGAGGTCACCGACCTCAAAACTACGCTAATTGAAATGACAGAAATGAAGTGAGGAAACGCTGCAGCATCATCTGTGATGCTCTGTGTCAGACGCATTAATGCTGAGAATATTAACGTGTGTGGAGAAGCAGACAAGCTCTCCCAGTGACACCAGTGAGGTCTTCTCCTCTGCCACTGGGATCCTGAATCATTTATTTAATAGAATTTAAACTCTATTACACAAAGTGTTCATATCACTAGAATACGTGGTTACATCATCAGGTATGAACATCTACTTCCTGGTAAAGCTCTTTCACATTAAAAGCCTGTTTCCTAAAGTCACAGCTTTTATTTTGAAACTCAGCCAAGATTCTCAGTCTGACTTTATATTAGTTTCTGTTAACTTACTTTTCCACAATATCCTTGACCTGGTTGGTGACCAGCGCCAGGTAGTGATCGATCTGAGCCTGAGGGAGACAGGAAGTTAGACCAGGACGGACCTCCAGCAGCACTGCTGGTGCATTCTGGGTAATGTCAGGGTCCTACCTGGTGTTTCTCATAGATGATTGGGCAGCTGAACGCTCCGACCAGACCTGCAACAGGAGGACATCATCAGAACCCAGAGGACCGCCTGCTGCAGCGCCACCAGGGGGCGCCGCCACAGAACCGCCACTACCACAGAAACGCCACTAGAGGGCGCTGCCGCTCACCCAGGATCAGCAGAGTGAGACCGTTGAACAAGGCGCCAACGTAGGTCAGGATCCACATCAGAATCGCAAACTGCAGGAAAACAGCGGGAGAAACTGGGTCAGAACCTCGTGTTTAATAATCCGTTTATTAGCAGAACCAATCAGGACCGGATCCAGAGGTTCTGCCTCACCTTGACGGAGTCCACTAGGTCCTCCACCAGGAACAGACGCCTCAGCTCCTTGATGGTCCAGTTCAGCTTCTCCAGAATCCCGTCGCTGTACTTATGGACCAGGTCCGCGGACAGCGCCACCTCCTGGTCCAGGTACAGCCTGCGGGCAGGACAGAGGTGAGTCATAAGGTTTCCATGGTAACAGAGTCCAACTCGGCCCCATGTCTGGTTCTGTGGTTTTGAAAAATCAAAAAACGATTCCAGCTTCTGTTTGGGTTCATCTGAGCTGCAAACTGAGCAGGAACCTGCTTTGGTTCTGATCCAGCTGGTTCTGATCCAGCTGGTTCTGGTCCAGATTCTCAGAGCTCAGCTCCTGGTAATCCCAGTTAATGAGTCTGGACTCAGAAAGGTTCTGATCTGCAGCCAGAAGCGGATCAACCAACCGTGGAGCTGGAATAATCTCATCTGGACCAGAACCACTGAACAGAACCAACAGAACCAAAGTGGACCAGGAACCAGGAAGTGTTTATTATTCTACTTTAAAACATCTGAGGCACTGAATCTTAAGGTGTCATGTCAGAACCGGGCCAGAACGGATCAGCACCGGGTCAGAAGCGGACTCACTTGAAGGGGTGGCCCTCGTCGGACTTCTGGATGGCCTGCAGGATGCCCTTGTATATCCTGAAGCAGATGGTGACGGAGAGCAGCGCCAGGCCGATGTAGGAGCAGACGCTGACAATGCTGCAGACGCTGAGCGACAGCAGCAGCAGCAGCGCCGCGCCGAACACCACGCCCGTCGTCTTCACGTCGCGCCAGTACACCAGCTCCACCACTAGGGGGCAGACACAGAGAGACGGTGACCTGCTGGAAGCCTGGTGACCAGAACCAGAACCAGAGCTTCACTGCTGAATTGATAAACATTAATGACTGATCCAGGTGAATCGGAGCAGATGATTGGTTCATGAAGATGGAGGGAAACCTGGTTCAACCGGACCAAAGTTCTGATCAGGTCCCGCCTCCGAAGGTCCAAACCGCTCAGAGACGTGTCACTTCCTGCTGATGTCATGCTAAAGCTAACGCTGCAGGCAGTTTGAGCTGCTAAATGGTTAAAGTTTGTGATTCTACAGCAGAACCAAACAGAGTGGTCTAGTCCAAGGTTCAGATCCTGTAGCTCCCTCCTGCAGTCCGTTTTGGAACAGAACCATAAACACAGGCCTGAGGAAAGACTTTGATCCACTCGCTAAAACAGGACAACTCATCATTATGCAGGTTTATAAAGTTACACTCAAAATAATTTGACTATTCTGCCTGTCAGGAGAAAACACAGGAAAACACACATCTGCACCTTGTTGTTATTCATTCACTGATAAATGTCACAATTTCAAACTAATTTTAGCTCTAATGTTTAGTAAGCTTACATTGGAAGCTAAATATTTAGCTTTACACTGTCTAAATATTTAGCTCTAAACTAAATATTTACTTTGAAAACTAGATGAATATTCTTTTTACAGAATATTTACTTATCTTCTTAAATATTTAGCTTGCTAGTTAAATATTTTGTTTTAAGTTGTGTCATTTCTAAGATTGTTTTCTGTTATGAGAGTCTGAATAACCAAGTTATTGCTGATGTTTCTATAAGGCTTCCCATATTTAATGCGCTGTGAATCACAGACTAACTTCATCCTCCTGCAGGTTAACCTGCGTCCAACTCAGCGGGTTTAAACTCGACCTAAATATAAACTTTATTCAGTTAAACACGATTGCTGCTTCCGATTAAACCAGAAATGATCATTTCCGCTCAACCCGCCGCCGTTTCCGCTTCGCTTCCGCCGGTGTTAGCATGCTAACCGTTAGCTTCCTGCGGACAGCCATGTTCCCAGAAGAACCAGCGGCTGAGGCGGACCGGGCGGAGCAGGAAGGGGGAGCGGGGCTCCAAATGTGGCCGCCTGCCTCATATGGTAACTGGCTGCCCGCGGCACCGGAGCCGGCTAAAAATAGAGCCCGCACCGCAACGCTCTCTACCTGGCCACAGATCTGGTTTCACCACCGCTCCGGTTCAACTCGTCCCGTTTGACCCGCTTCACCTCCCTTCTCCCCGGACAGACCCCCGCCTCACGCCGGGACCGAACCTCAGAGTCCGGGTTAACCTCCGCAGGAGGCGGGCTCCTCCCGCAGCAGGTGCCGGTCTGAGCCCCACACCGCACGCCTCCCGGGCGGCCAAAGCCCGCTGCCAGAGCGCTACCAGAGGACATCGAAGCTCACTAACCCCTCTCGGCGTCCATGTTGAACCTCCCGGAGCCTCCAGCAGCAGCACGGCGGCTCCGCCTCCGGCTGACCGGAGATCACGCTCCGTGGGCGGGGGGCGGGACATGCGCAGCTCGGCCCCCACGGAGGAGACAATCACCATATTTACTGATTTATTTCCAATATATGATCAATAAACCAGCCAGGAGAGTTTATTACCGTATTAAAATATTCACCCATTTATTAATAAATCTGGACAAATTCCTCACAATAACTTATTTAATTTAAATAATTCATCCAGCCTGCGATGGAAATGAGTTTATCATCACAACAGGAAACAAAGAAAACTATTTCCGTTTTTCAATATTTCTACAGATATAAATCTGAAAAGTGCGGCATGCCCTTGTTTTTAACCCAGAACCGGGTCTGGCTGCAGATCTTCTGAACATCTGGATCAGTTTACAACCAGCTGGACTCAGGTCTGGGCTTTGACTAGGCCGTTCTATCCCATGAATCAGCTCTGATCTCAACCATCCCATAATTATCTGACCTTTTTCCCACAGCATGATGCTGCCACCACCATGTCCCTCTTGGCTGAGACTCCGAGTTCTGTCCCAGACGAGTCAGAACCGCTGATCTGGGTTCAGTTGGTCCAGAACCCGACCCGGCGCTGATAAGCCTGGTTCAGTCGGCCCGGGTTGTAAAAGCAGGTCGTAAAAGCAAAGCGCTGCAGATAAAAGGCCCAACATTCAAATCAGCTGCAGGCCAGGTGCATGCTGGGAGAACAGGTCCACCAGAACCAGAGCTGAGGCACACACACACACAGCTGCTGAGTCACCATGCAGCTGGATCAATGATAACAGACCAGAACCAGCCGGTTCTGATAGATTCTGTTGTTTCCTCCTGGTTCTGATCCAGAACCTCCAGCAGGACAGAACCTGGCCCAGTCAGAACCAGATAACCTCTGGACCATTCTCCAGAACCAAACGGATCAATGATCTAATCGCCGACCCAGCGGTCGGGAGGCGGCACCGAGGGCCTGACCCGTTTGGACTTCTGCAGACCTCCAGCTGACTGCTTGATGAGCAGAACTCAGCAGCTGGTTCTGGTCGGACTGCAGCTTTAACTGCAGTTCCCCTGCAACCAATCATTAACCTGACCTTTGACCCGGCCTGCTGCATGTCCAAAGGTCCCGTCTGCGAACCAAACAACCAGATCCAATCAGAACCATTTGGACCCAATCAGAACCAACCAGAACCAGCCTACCCTGCTCCCTCCAGGACTGGCTGACCGGCTCCTTCCTCTCCAAGCAGCTGCTTTCCATGCCGACCGACCCGATCCGACCCGATCAGCAGACACACATTCCCACCAACCGGGTGAGCAAGCAGAGAGAGAGGCTGAGGAAGAGGAGGAGGAGGAAGGACAGCAGCTCCTCCTGCTGTCAGCTGACTGAACCGTGACGCAGAGCCTGGAGCCGCCTGGACCTCCTCCTCCTCCTCCTCCTCCAGATTAAACCTTTCTGCATTATTCTCTATACTAACCTGGTTCTGACAAAACCAACTGGACCTGCCCCACTGGAGCTGCTCCTCCTCCTGTAACCAGCTGCTCAATGACCGTTGGCCTCCATGTGAGGCAGTGACCTCTGACCCCTGGGTCAGGATCTGAGAACACTTTTGTTCCGTAGAAACATCTGGACCTGCTTCCTGCAGATTAAAGGTCCAGATTATATTCTGACTCTTGCTGGGCGGGACCAGCTCAGGTTGCCATGACGACGCGCCGATCGGGCCGGATCGATGGAAAACGTCCCGCTGTTTGTTCAGCTACACAGGAAACATGGAGGATTCATTCACTTAGCAAATCTTCAGGCTATTAGCACAACATTTAGCTCCAAGCTAAATATTTAGCATAAAGCTACATATGTCTTTAGTGTAAAGCTAAATATTTTGGAGCTAAATTTTCAGTTAGAGAAATATTTTCTTTGTAAACTGAATATTTAGATAACCAGCTTAACACTTAGCTGGTTGAAACTGATTTTAAAAACTAAACCTTCATATATTTTCTTCTATCAGTGTTAATTAATTAATTTTTGACAGTAACTTTAAGAACGGCGCTCCAAAGTGAGTTTCTGTGAGGCCTTAAACCCAACAAGATCTCCAGTGTTAATCCATCAAAGTTCAGTTTTATTTATTTAATCAGGAAAAATAAACATTTGAGAAAAGCTGGTCTATTCTGCTAATGGCTGCATTCAGCCACCAGGGGGAGCTGCTCCCTCTGGTCCAATGCAGAGACATCAGACTTCATGTCTGAAGCTTCAAACTGAGTCAGACCCAGACAGCAGGAAAGACTCCAGCTCCCATGATGCACTGGGGGATCAAGCTAAAAGCCCCCACCAACCACGTCAACACCAACATGACCTCTGACCTGTAGTCAGTCTGCAGAATCCATGCACTCTCCATGAACATGATTCATTCTGACCTTTAATGATTCCTTTGAACAGTTTTTTTCCAGCTGCTGTCAGTCTGAAAATCAAAAACTTGTTGGAAAGAAGATGAAGGTTCTGATCCAGCAGCGTAAACCCGGTGGGTTGAACAGAACCGGCTCATCGATAAACACCTGCAGCATTTCAAGTTATCCAGACGGACCAGACTGGAAGGAAACTAGTAGGTTGTACAGTCATGATTAAAATAATTAGTGAATGCTAAATGGCACTTCAGCTGCAGCGTTTTTAATTAGAATCAAACAAAAAACCTACATGTGTCCGTAAAATGTCTCATTTATGAAGACAGAAATTAAATTCATCACTTTCTCAGTAGATCAAGAATCAATTATCTAATCAGTTATTGATTACCAAAGGTGGCCACCGCTCATTAAAAAGTTAGCTGTGCTAACTCTAAAGCTAATGCTAAAGCACAAAATCAACATGGTAATTAGTGAAAGCTAATGCTAACGTGCTACAGCAACATGATTGGCTGAAGTGTGCCCACTACTGCAGCATGGTAAATTAGCGCTGTGGAGCTAAGTGAGCTAAGCACTGGCTAACACGCTAAATAAAACATTAGCTTTGCATTTGAAAGGCGCCTTTAAATAAAGGATATTATTGTTGTAGTTATTCTTAGCGCATAGCAGAAATGCTTCTACTAATAGGACTTTGGAATTTATCTGGAAAAAGGGTTAGCTAAGCTAAGTGCTACAAGCAATATGCTAATGTGCAAAACTAAAAATTAGCTGTGCTATTAGTGGATTAGCATAGTGTGTCCACCACATCATTCTTTGATCTTTTCATCAGTAGTTTAGTTGAGAGTTACTAGATTGGTGATTAAAATGTTAGGCTGAATTATTTTTGTTAATAGACTGTTTTATAATGTAGAGAAGCTTGTCTGTATTTATGCCATAAACATAATTTATGGGTTTATTTATAAAATGTTGAGGCTGAACTATCTATCCTGATAATGAACAGATTCCCTGTCTTCTACTTTTGTTAATAATTATTCTATTTACTGACAGATATTTATAGCCACAGCAAACATTTTGCTTCAGCATCCAGCTGATCCCGTTGGAGGGTGTATGAATATATCTGAGCCAGCAAAACAGCAGCAGTAGAACCATCAGAACCTGATGAGGCACCAGATCAATGAGGCTGATCGGATCGGATCAGCATGACATCAGCAGAACATTTGCTGACTGGTTCTGGAGAGAGGAGCTGAGAATGTCGCAATGCAGGGAGGAGGAGGAGGAGAAGGAAGAGAGGGAGGAGGAGGGGGAGGAGAAGGAGGGAGAGGAAGAGGAGGAGGGGGAGGAGAAGGAGGGAGAGGAAGAGGAGGAGGAGGGGGAGGAAGAGGAGGAGGAGAAAAAGGAAGAGGAGGAAGAGGAGGGGAAGAAGGGGGGGGAGGAGGACCATCTACCTGGCTTCTGCTTCCTGATCCGTTTCATAACATTTTACTTTCTGATCTGATTAAAATCTTTAATTTTGTTGGTTATGAATGTTTTTCTGAACCCAGCAGGTCCAGAGATGAGGGCTGCAGAGAACAGAGCGGTCCGGTCCGGTCCGGTTCTGGTGACAGAGAGCTGGGGCCCCTCAGGAGGTGTTGGGTTGCAGAGCCATATCTGCTCGGATACAGGAGTCTAACTCAGCACCCTCATACTGAGGACAGCAGCTGGACCGGCCCGGTTCTGGTTCCGCTCACCAGGGAGCGAGAATGTTTCAGGGCGGAGGACGGGTTAGAGGAGAAAACAAGAACTCAACAATGAACAAAAAGCTCCAAAAGTCCAACAGAACCAAACACAGGAGTTAATGTAGAACAGAACCAGAACAGAACCGGGACGATGCAGGAACAGAAGGTGACGTATAGCGGAGGTGGAGTCAAACTGAAAGGTGGAGATGGATGGGATGTGGATGAAGATGGAGGTTCTGGTGGAAACCAAGGAGTATGTGTTTGTGGGTGGATCATGGGTGGGGGGCAGAGAATGAGGGGGGCAGGGGAGGTGACNTTTGGGGGTGTTCCCCATTTTGACCTCGGGGCTTCCAGTCCATATTCTGCACAGATGTTCCTGTACACTATGCCCGCCACTTGGTTATGTCGTTCCATGTACGCTTTCCCTGCCAGCATCTTGCGCACACATATATATATATATATATATATATATATATATATATATACACACACACACAAATTGATCTGATTTAAACTGATTGATTCTCAATCAGTTTTGGTTCTTTATAATTTTTTGACTGAAAAAGTAGCGAGGAAAATTTTAATCCAAATTTTCACACTGCATTAATTTTTCTACATGCTGAGCTGTGAATAATTTCTCCACATTTATCCATAAGGCCAGAGAAGCTTCCTGCTGTTTTCATATGAAATTATTACTTTTAATGATATTGTGCATAATTATATTACATATCCACTATTATTGAAGTGATGCTTTGAGTTCTGTAAATATACTGGAGGTTTTTAAACAGATTGTAACTAAAGTAAAACTGCAGCACTTGGTTTGTTATTCAGATGTAGGGACCATGTTTCACCAGCAGAGGGCGCCGCCGCATGGCAGGTTTTTATGTCAGATTTAAATAAAGATTAGTAACGTGAGTAAGCTGTGTTCTGCTTTCATCACTTCCTGTCTAGCCAGAACCCTCTGGTGGTTCCGGTTCTGACCCGGTTAGCGGCAGACATGAAGGACTCGTGGTTCCGGTTCTGACCCGGTTAGCGGCAGACATGAAGGACTCGTGGTTCCGGTTCTGGTAGTTTGTCTAGAAGCTTTATTGATAACTGTTTACATCTCACAATGCATTCCACAACACGACTCCAGCGGAGTTTAATCAGCACAGGTGAAGAAGAAGAAGAAGAAGTTTATCATTCACGATTAAAGAAGCAGAACAAACAGACGCCTTAAGCTCCGCCCACCTCACCTGGAAACACACCTGGCGGAGGGAAACGCCCGGCTGTTTCCTAGGAGACAGCGGGATGACGATGATCTAACAGGGTAACGGATTGTTCTACATGGTTCTACAGCTACCGAGCAGCGATGAAGAGTTTAGTGTAGACCCCTCCTCTTCCTCACAGCAGCCCCTCCCCAACCTGCTGCTGCCAGCCGCCTGTGATAGGCTGAGGGAAAGGGGGCGGGGCCAACCAGCTTTAAAATGTTTCTGAGACTCTGATTGGTTCACAGAAATAAAACAGATGATGATCATCATCATCATCATCATCAAAGCCACTGAACAATTCCCAGAAGCACAAAATAAGGAATTCTGAAATGGAAAAAAAAAAAAAAAAAAGTTTCATAATCTGACAAATACATTAAGGGCAGCGCCCACCTGATCCTCCTCTTCCTCCTTCATTTCGTTTCCTCCAGCCCCCCTCCCCCCTCCCATCAGGACTTCCTGAATCCAACCTTTGACCTCCCGTTCCTTCACTCCGTCTTACGCTTCAGTCCGGGAACCTTTTCCTGAATCCTGAAACACAAACAGGAAACAGGAGGCAAGAAGTGAGCCGCCATACATGTCAAAATAAAACACTTGATGTTCTTGACAGCAGCGCCTTAAAGGGCCAGTCGATGTTTCACTGTGAGGTCATCAGCAGGGGTCAGAGGTCACCGACCTCAAAACTACGCTAATTGAAATGACAGAAATGAAGTGAGGAAACGCTGCAGCATCATCTGTGATGCTCTGTGTCAGACGCATTAATGCTGAGAATATTAACGTGTGTGGAGAAGCAGACAAGCTCTCCCAGTGACACCAGTGAGGTCTTCTCCTCTGCCACTGGGATCCTGAATCATTTATTTAATAGAATTTAAACTCTATTACACAAAGTGTTCATATCACTAGAATACGTGGTTACATCATCAGGTATGAACATCTACTTCCTGGTAAAGCTCTTTCACATTAAAAGCCTGTTTCCTAAAGTCACAGCTTTTATTTTGAAACTCAGCCAAGATTCTCAGTCTGACTTTATATTAGTTTCTGTTAACTTACTTTTCCACAATATCCTTGACCTGGTTGGTGACCAGCGCCAGGTAGTGATCGATCTGAGCCTGAGGGAGACAGGAAGTTAGACCAGGACGGACCTCCAGCAGCACTGCTGGTGCATTCTGGGTAATGTCAGGGTCCTACCTGGTGTTTCTCATAGATGATTGGGCAGCTGAACGCTCCGACCAGACCTGCAACAGGAGGACATCATCAGAACCCAGAGGACCGCCTGCTGCAGCGCCACCAGGGGGCGCCGCCACAGAACCGCCACTACCACAGAAACGCCACTAGAGGGCGCTGCCGCTCACCCAGGATCAGCAGAGTGAGACCGTTGAACAAGGCGCCAACGTAGGTCAGGATCCACATCAGAATCGCAAACTGCAGGAAAACAGCGGGAGAAACTGGGTCAGAACCTCGTGTTTAATAATCCGTTTATTAGCAGAACCAATCAGGACCGGATCCAGAGGTTCTGCCTCACCTTGACGGAGTCCACTAGGTCCTCCACCAGGAACAGACGCCTCAGCTCCTTGATGGTCCAGTTCAGCTTCTCCAGAATCCCGTCGCTGTACTTATGGACCAGGTCCGCGGACAGCGCCACCTCCTGGTCCAGGTACAGCCTGCGGGCAGGACAGAGGTGAGTCATAAGGTTTCCATGGTAACAGAGTCCAACTCGGCCCCATGTCTGGTTCTGTGGTTTTGAAAAATCAAAAAACGATTCCAGCTTCTGTTTGGGTTCATCTGAGCTGCAAACTGAGCAGGAACCTGCTTTGGTTCTGATCCAGCTGGTTCTGATCCAGCTGGTTCTGGTCCAGATTCTCAGAGCTCAGCTCCTGGTAATCCCAGTTAATGAGTCTGGACTCAGAAAGGTTCTGATCTGCAGCCAGAAGCGGATCAACCAACCGTGGAGCTGGAATAATCTCATCTGGACCAGAACCACTGAACAGAACCAACAGAACCAAAGTGGACCAGGAACCAGGAAGTGTTTATTATTCTACTTTAAAACATCTGAGGCACTGAATCTTAAGGTGTCATGTCAGAACCGGGCCAGAACGGATCAGCACCGGGTCAGAAGCGGACTCACTTGAAGGGGTGGCCCTCGTCGGACTTCTGGATGGCCTGCAGGATGCCCTTGTATATCCTGAAGCAGATGGTGACGGAGAGCAGCGCCAGGCCGATGTAGGAGCAGACGCTGACAATGCTGCAGACGCTGAGCGACAGCAGCAGCAGCAGCGCCGCGCCGAACACCACGCCCGTCGTCTTCACGTCGCGCCAGTACACCAGCTCCACCACTAGGGGGCAGACACAGAGAGACGGTGACCTGCTGGAAGCCTGGTGACCAGAACCAGAACCAGAGCTTCACTGCTGAATTGATAAACATTAATGACTGATCCAGGTGAATCGGAGCAGATGATTGGTTCATGAAGATGGAGGGAAACCTGGTTCAACCGGACCAAAGTTCTGATCAGGTCCCGCCTCCGAAGGTCCAAACCGCTCAGAGACGTGTCACTTCCTGCTGATGTCATGCTAAAGCTAACGCTGCAGGCAGTTTGAGCTGCTAAATGGTTAAAGTTTGTGATTCTACAGCAGAACCAAACAGAGTGGTCTAGTCCAAGGTTCAGATCCTGTAGCTCCCTCCTGCAGTCCGTTTTGGAACAGAACCATAAACACAGGCCTGAGGAAAGACTTTGATCCACTCGCTAAAACAGGACAACTCATCATTATGCAGGTTTATAAAGTTACACTCAAAATAATTTGACTATTCTGCCTGTCAGGAGAAAACACAGGAAAACACACATCTGCACCTTGTTGTTATTCATTCACTGATAAATGTCACAATTTCAAACTAATTTTAGCTCTAATGTTTAGTAAGCTTACATTGGAAGCTAAATATTTAGCTTTACACTGTCTAAATATTTAGCTCTAAACTAAATATTTACTTTGAAAACTAGATGAATATTCTTTTTACAGAATATTTACTTATCTTCTTAAATATTTAGCTTGCTAGTTAAATATTTTGTTTTAAGTTGTGTCATTTCTAAGATTGTTTTCTGTTATGAGAGTCTGAATAACCAAGTTATTGCTGATGTTTCTATAAGGCTTCCCATATTTAATGCGCTGTGAATCACAGACTAACTTCATCCTCCTGCAGGTTAACCTGCGTCCAACTCAGCGGGTTTAAACTCGACCTAAATATAAACTTTATTCAGTTAAACACGATTGCTGCTTCCGATTAAACCAGAAATGATCATTTCCGCTCAACCCGCCGCCGTTTCCGCTTCGCTTCCGCCGGTGTTAGCATGCTAACCGTTAGCTTCCTGCGGACAGCCATGTTCCCAGAAGAACCAGCGGCTGAGGCGGACCGGGCGGAGCAGGAAGGGGGAGCGGGGCTCCAAATGTGGCCGCCTGCCTCATATGGTAACTGGCTGCCCGCGGCACCGGAGCCGGCTAAAAATAGAGCCCGCACCGCAACGCTCTCTACCTGGCCACAGATCTGGTTTCACCACCGCTCCGGTTCAACTCGTCCCGTTTGACCCGCTTCACCTCCCTTCTCCCCGGACAGACCCCCGCCTCACGCCGGGACCGAACCTCAGAGTCCGGGTTAACCTCCGCAGGAGGCGGGCTCCTCCCGCAGCAGGTGCCGGTCTGAGCCCCACACCGCACGCCTCCCGGGCGGCCAAAGCCCGCTGCCAGAGCGCTACCAGAGGACATCGAAGCTCACTAACCCCTCTCGGCGTCCATGTTGAACCTCCCGGAGCCTCCAGCAGCAGCACGGCGGCTCCGCCTCCGGCTGACCGGAGATCACGCTCCGTGGGCGGGGGGCGGGACATGCGCAGCTCGGCCCCCACGGAGGAGACAATCAC